CAGTCGCAAATCCCTTTTTTTTGGTGCCGTTGCAAATTTGAACGGTCACTAAACGAACTGTCACTTAAATCCAGTATGGCCTTTTCCTCCCTCATCCATACACTCAGTTCCTGTGTGCGCTTTACCACAACCTGCGTGTTGGTTGAAATTGGTTGACAACACTTCTTTTGAAAGTTAGTAATAACAACGCTGGATTTATGCACACACGCAGACACTGCATAAAAGAGACCTACATATTTGATCAGCTTTTTCTGGTCCATTGAAGGGAGCAATATTATCTCAGACCTGCTGTCTTCCTATAAGCGGGCCGTTTCGTCGTCGCAAATGACGCCGCTGGAAGTAAAACCACGCTGGCTCGAGAGTTTAATCGCATCTTTGTGCTTGTTATTGATTTAGCCATTGTTCAGCCTCATTATCTCTCCACCAACACAGACCCAGCAATCATTTTTCACATCCTTAGTCAAGCACCAAATTGTGAGCCAAGGACAGACACTCATAATGATCTCCGGGGTAAATTACAGGAGGGGGATTGCTTGCTAGCTATCTCTCATGGCTTCTGGACAACGATTTTCTCTGACAGTCATTTACTGGAGCATGTTTGGAACAATTACGGCACGTGAGTAACCTGGTAGGTGCAAATGTTACCTCGCTTAGGAAGGACCACCTGCCGTCACCTCAGCTGCCAGCTTGAGAAGGCAACATGGCACCACAAAAGAGGAAGCTCTTCAACTTTCCATTCGGTCCGAAGGCTGAGCAGCTCAGTGCCATTGTGTTAAAAGGAACATCAGCCAGGCTCCTTTCTGCTCTGGTGACTATGGATAAAGGCAGGTGTCTGTTTATGAAGTGACCACTTTCTTCGTGGTGGAGGAGACAACTTCAAAAGCTGCTCTCCCAAAGGTGCTTTTTTCAGGAGGCAGCTGGACTTAGTTTTCTTTGAAGACGTTTCGCTTCTCATCCAAGAAGCTTCTTCAGCTCTGACTGGAGGGTGGGGAATGGAAAAGGCACTTTTCCGAACCATGGTGACTTCATAAGTGATGAGAAACCTGGAGAAGCAAGGGAAGGAGAAGATACTTCACGCTGGTTAGAACAACGCAGTGCAGATCGTCCTTGACTTATAGACACACTTGAGCCCAAAAAGTTCTATTGCTAAGCAAGACAGTGAGTTTTACTCCATGTTGTGACTTTTTTTTTTGCCACAGTTGCTAAGTAAAGAATACAGCATCCAGTTTTGGTCAACACGTTACAAAAATGATGTTGAGACTTTGGAAAAAGTGCAAAGAAGAGCAACTAAGATGACTAAAGGCCTGTAGACTAAAATATATGAAGAACGGCTGCAGGAATTGGGTATGGCCAGTCTAGAGAAAAGAAGGACTAGGGGGGACATGATAGCAGGATTCCAGTATTTGAGGGGCTGCCACAAAGAAGAGGAGGGTCAACCTATTCTCCAAAGCACCAGAAGGGAAGACAAGAAGCAACGGATGGAAACTAATCCAGGAGAGAAGCAACCTGGAATTAAGGAGAAACTTCCTAACAGTGAGGACAATTAATCAGTGGAAGTTCTTGCCTCCAGAAGTTGTGGGTGCTCCATCACTGGAGGTTTTTAAGAAGAGTCTAGAGAGCAACTTATCTGAAATGATAGACTAGAAGTCCCTTCCAGCTCTATTCTGACTGAATAAAGTGAGCTATGACTTCTTCTTCTTGTGCCATATCCGTTATCAGACGTTGGCGATCATGTTGGCAATCCTGTTTTTATCAGCAGCCGCACGAAAAAGTGTGGCTGAGTTTTGTCCAAACCGGTTCCTTAGATTTTGAAGCCATGATGTTCTTCTTCTGCCTGGACCTCGTTTGCCTTCCATCTTTTTCTGGAGGATGAAATGGAGTATGCTGTATTTTTATGGGTGTTGCATCACATGTCCGAAATATTCTAACTTTCGTTTCTTAAATTGTTTTGATGATTTCCCTTGGCTTTCCCAGGCGGCTTATCCCCTCCTCATTTCTGACCTTTCAACCCAGCTTATACGTAACAGCTGCCTGTAAATCCACATTTCAAATGTTTCTAGTCTCTTCAGGTGGCCTTCTGTCAGAGACCCACTCTCTACTCCATAGAGCAGGATAGACAAAATATAGCCTCTGACAAGCCTGATTTTCAGTCTTAGGCTTATGTCGTGACTGCAGAAGACCTTTTTTCATTTGAAGAATGCTGTTCGGGCTTTTTCTATCCTTGTCTTTACTTCAACGATCATGTCCCAGCTTTCGTGTACGTTAGAACCGAGGTGCGTGCGAGCTATGACTGGTCTTCTGCTAATATGTGTTGTACCATCCCTGTGGTCACATGATCAAATTACACACACACACACACACACACACACACACACACACACACAGAGAAAAAGAGAGAGAGAACAAATTGTTGAAATAGGAAGAAACAGCAGGGGGATAAGACTTTCCTGTATTCTGACAAATTAGGTGCGAGAGGTTTTTATACAAGATGCATACAAACACATGGTTGATCGATTATTATTATTTTTTCACTCTTGGCAAAACTGAAGAAAAGGTGAAGGCACATTTTTTTCCCCGTGGAGGTAAAGACTGCCAGATTTCAGATGAATAAGCTCAGGAACATTTCTTACAAAAGCTTCCTTTACGGGTTTTTTTTTTCTTCCCTTCTCCTTAAGCTGCTACAAGATGGGAGAAATTTTGGATCAGGAAATGGCCTGGAAGCCAGCACTGAAGCAATCACCAAGCAGTTACTGGAAGGGAAACTGCAGTCTGGCTGTTGCAGAGAAAAGGGGACAGGAATGCAAAAAAATAAAAATAAAAATAATAATCTGGCTAAGGAACTACGTGTTGAACATAAGCATCCCTTTTGCAACTCCCAGAGCATCCCAGAAGGAATGGGGTCAAGATGGGTTTTTTCTTCTTCCTTCTTTAGGTGTTCCAAGCTTTGCAGATACTTAGGGGACCCATAGCAGCATATTAATTGGGGTCCTCAAGTTTTGCAACATGACTGACATACAACGCCAAACTTTAGTGGGTAGAATTTGTTCTGTGTTACGGGATTTTTGAGGCAGCCTTGGGTTCTCAACCGATTCTCCAAAGCCCCCTGAAGGCAGGACAAGAAGCAACAGATGGAAACTCATCGAGAGAAGCAATCTAGAACTAAGGAGAAATTTCCTAACAGTAAGAACAATCAACCAGTGGAATGGCTTGCCTTCAGAAGTTGTAGGTGCTCCAGTGCTGGAGGCTTTTATGAAGAGATTGGACAATCATTTGTCAAAAATAGATACAGGTCTGGACTAGAACATCTCCAAGGTCCCTTCAAACTCTGTTATTCTGTTACGTCTTCTAAGAAAAGATGCAAAGATCAGCTACTTAGTTGGCATATTCATAGCGAGTACCTTAAATTGTGTGTGTGTGTGTGTGTGTGTGTGTTTAATCAAATAAGAAAGAATGTTCTTGAGCTAACTACATCAGTAAGGTCAATAAATTGAGAATATAGCGAAACAGTCTTTAATTCTTTAACTGGAAAAAAATATTTTAGGAAAGTATTTTAATGGGTTGTTTTCTCTTATATACCTTTCCCTAAAGTCATGGATTTACCTGTCCATCTTCAATTATAATAGAATAAAGAGTGCCAAGATGGATTAAAAACCTACAATGTGGTGCAAACCTTTCAGCATAATAAGCAATAGATAGATAGATAGATAGATAGATAGATAGATAGATAGATAGATAGATAGATAGATAGATAGATGATAGGTAGGTAGGTAGGTAGAAAGATAGATAGATAGATAGATAGATATAGATATAGATATAGATATAGATATAGATATAGATATAGATGATATAGATATAGATAGATAGATAGATAGATAGATAGATAGATAGATAGATAGATAGATAGAGATAGATAGATAGATAGATAGATAGATAGATAGATAGATAGATAGATAGATATAGCTCAATAGAGAGAAATGATATAGATATAGATAGATAGATAGATAGATAGATGATAGCTAGATAGATAGATAGAGAGATAGAGATAGAGATAGAGATAGATAGATAGATAGATAGATAGATAGATAGATAGATATAGATATAGATAGATATAGCTCAATAGAGAGAAATGATATAGATAGAGATATAGATAGATATAGATATAGATAGATATAGATAGAGAGATAGATAGATAGAGAGATAGACAGACATAGATATAGATATATTAAGCTCAATCTGTTCACTATCATAAGTTCTTAGCTGAACTGCCTTAACTACAAACTTTTTTTTTCACAATATGTAATATAATATTATATAATATATAATAAATTTTATACAATATATACAATATATTTTCTCACAATATATAAAGGAGTCCCTGCGGATTTTACTCCGCTAGTCTTTGCCAACTGTAGGGACTGTGCTCATCTGTATTTCAAGGCGACTGAACCAGCCCTGACCAAGGACATTTCCATGGTCAGGTGGCCAGCCTTATGCCATGGAGCTCTGTTGCCTTCCCACCGAGGGGGTACCTATTTATCTGCTTTCATTTGCTTGCTTTGGAATGGCTGCGTTCAAAACTGCGGGAGCTGGAGCGAGGATAGGCACTCACCCCATCACGTGGAGCTTGGGTCTTGAACCGGGGCTTTTAGCTTTCCAACTGATAAGCCCAGCGTCTTAACCACTGAGCCACTGCGCTGCCACTCACAACATATAAGGCTGCTGGAAATGTAGCATCTAAGGCACGCTAGGCTATGCGCTTCTGGTTTATTTATGTGGCTATAATTGCAATGTGTTGAATTCAATGGTATTCATTTAAGACTCTGTAATATGGGTGTTTACATTTCTCTTTCAAGGATAAACTGGAGACCATCACCGGATTAATGCTTAATTCCTTTTTTTTTTTCATGGTTGTTTTCTTATGAAAGTAACAGTCACGAACCTTTCAGTTATTTTGTTCTTGTTCTTCCTGGTCTTAACTGTGTCCTTTTTTTCTGTCCCAGGCACATTGTTGTCTGTGGTCACATCACTTTGGAAAGCGTGTCCAATTTCTTGAAGGACTTCCTTCACAAGGACAGGGATGATGTCAACGTAGAAATTGTCTTTCTGCATAAGTAAGTACCTTCATGTCACTACTCACACACAAAAAAGAGGCCCGTGGGATCCTAAAATCTATAGAAGAAAGTATTTGTAGATCAGGATTGAACTTTGGGGTCCTTGGTGCTCTCTGAGCTCGGTTGTTTCATTAGCGCACTGGATGAGGGTACCTAGTTTGGTAATAAAACGTCTGCAAGGAAACAACCAAGCTCAGAGACCACCAAGGACCCCAAAACTAAAATCTGCAATCAAATTCTTGGGTAAATACTTCGTCTTGCCCCAGTTGCAAACAAGGCTAGTAATAAACATTATTTTTACATACTGTAGTATGTAATTATTCAGCTTTTGGAAATGTTTGCAACAAAGAGGTACAAAGTCCCGAGTACCTCTTTCGAAAAAGACGCCCTGTGAATATTTCAGCTGAGAGCACCAAATGTGCCTTTTTGTATTGTCCTTTGACTCACAAGTACATTTTAATGACATATTTAACCAGGCCTGCTTTATAAAATATGGCAGGAATGCATTTTCTGCTTTAGGATTCGGTCCTGAATATAATTAAAGGCACAAATTGTTTAACCAAAATGAATGAATGTGAGATTTCCATAAGTAGTGGATAATTGTATTCTTTGTTATGCCATTCGTAGACCTTCCCCACACTACACACTTCCTAAATTGGTGGGCTGTATACTTTAAATGTCATAGTAATGAAGGAACACCTTCCTTTAATCCATTCAAAGGTGCTGATTAAAGTTGTGCATGCTTTCAAATGTCTTATACATTTGAAGTAAAAGATTAGGATCTTATTAACTAACTTAAACTTTTGGGGGCTTTCCATATGAACTTAAAAAAAAGATGTTGTTGCTTTAAGTCATCAAACCAAATCAAATCAAATCAAATATGTATTACGTTCACAGACCAACATAACTGTTTTTTTAATGGATCTCAGTCTGCTTCTTAAAGCAGTCACAATATACTTTTCAGATCCTGAAAAAAGTTTGTTGGTTTTAGTGAATAGCAGAGAAGTGTTACGCTTGGCTGGAATTTGAAAGAACACCTCCAAGTCATGTTTTGTGTGACTTTTGTGGTTTAGAGACGAAGAATTTTTTTTAAGGATTTTTATAGGGCCCCCAATGGGAAAATTTGAATAGTGAACTAGGATTCTTCAAAGAAGAAGAAATATAATGAATGTCACTCGTGCCACTTAATCATTACTTAATCATCAATACCATTTAAACCAAGTTGGCTATAGATCTCAATGAATTTTATTTTCGGTCGTTTTGAAACCACAACTCTTCTGCTTGTGGTTCTACACGTCCACCTATCCAGATCACAAATGTCACCTGTCAAAAGTGATTCTGGACACGAACTAAAATGACCTGAAAAAAGTTTCACATACAATCTTTGGTATGTTAAAAAAAAAGTTTGAAATCCAATTTGAAAGGAATTGAAACCGATAATCCTCTTAAACTGATGAATCATTAAGTTATGGTAGTTAAGCATGAAGAACAGAAATTGATCCAGGCAGTGGCATTTTGATGTATTGAATGACAGTTATTCTTCCACAAGATTTTAAATTGAGCAACATTAGGAGTTAAGTCTACATTAAAATTTTGAAAGTCTGTGGGGTTACCAATTCTACTTTGGTTTTGTTTGATTTTGCACTGCTCTTCCCAAGATCTGTTTAAATTATTTTTACAGTGTCAATTTATGAGTTTTTTAAAAACTTTATTGCACTAATAACCTGCCAAGAACCACAACTTTAAAGGTGTATAAATCAGTTAACATATATTATAAAACAGCAAAAGGAATAAATGCATCAAATGGAAACATCATCGGGCAGCAAAATACATAATAAAAATCATAGTCATAAAAATAGCACTAAAGAGTGAAATTTTAACACTAGTTTAAAATCATTTTCAAAACAGCTCCGAAAATCGGGGTGTAGGGCATTGCATTATGATTAAAGCTTCAGTGGTTACTGGGTAGGACACAATTCAGTAACTTGAACCAGTTTCATATTTCCAAGTTAAATCTACAAAATGTAAGGTGAACAGAAAACAGAACACAAAGAGAAGAGGCAGAATATAATTACAAGTAATTAAAAATAAATTTGTTTGGGTTCAAAAGGGCTATAATATTAGTTGCACTGAGATCTCTGAAGAGTCTCTCTCTCTCTCATTTTGAGGGGACCCAGAAAAGTCTCAGATGAAGGTCCAGATAAGTCAGTATGAAGGTCCAGATAGGTCAAAAGAGAGATCTAGATAGGTCAATATAAAAGTCCACATAGGTCAATATGAAGGTCTAGATAGGTGAATATGAAGATCTAAATAGGCCAATAGAGAGATCTAGATAGGCCAATATGAAGGTCTACATAGGTAAATATAAAGGTCTAGATAGACCAAAAGAGAAATCTAGATAGGTCAATATGAAAGTCTAGATAGGTCAACAGGAAACTCTAGAAAGATCAATATGAAGCTCTAGATAGGTCAATATGCAGGTCTAGATAGGTCAATATGAAGGTCTAGATAGATCAACACAAAGGTCTAGATAGGTCAATATGAAGACCCATATAGGTAACACTTGATGTGTTGTTGACATGGATCCACATTTATTAAAGCTCCTGTCATAATAAATATGTTGGTCTTCCAGATGCCACAAGATCAGATATAAGACAAAGAGTCCAGAATTTCTGGATTGATTCCTTTGCCAAATAAAGTATAGAAAATGTGAGGCACACTTTTTTAGCTGTCTTAGTTTGCAGGAAGAATTCACATATTTGATAAGAATAATGGAGAAGTTGATTCTGGTAACATCCTCTCTAATTCCCAAAGAAAAAAAAAGGGAAAACCAAATAGAAACACTGTACATAATCAACTTCCCTAATCCCTTTTTTATGTCGTTCTGACCTGGGCATGAGGCGAGGGATGATATATTTGGGTGGAAGTGAGAACATTCTGGAGAGCTAGTAGTTGTAAAGGAAGGAGAGATGAAAAACGATAATATACAAAATAGATGGGATGCGTTGGCTGCGAAATCTGTTAACCTTTTGGAACTGACGGAGAAATAAGTTTCGTCTTTTTTTTTTCTTTCTTTCTTTTTTTCTTTTTATTTAGTATCTCCCCTAACCTTGAGTTGGAAGCTCTTTTTAAACGACACTTTACTCAGGTGGAATTTTTTCAAGGCTCCGTTCTTAATCCGCACGACTTGGCTAGAGTAAAGGTAAGGGTGTTTAAAAAAAAAAAAAACCTAACTGAGCATTTGGAGAGGAAAATTGAACAAGCAGGGTCTAAAAATGTAAAATGATTTTAAAGCCCATTCCGTTTTTCTAAAGAAAAACGGAAGGTATTGTCCTATAAAGAAATCTAGAAACCGCTTCTGGACAGCCACACTGTTTTGTTTTATTCCATTTCCGTGGCACTTTGGCAAAAAAATTGTACCACTCTAGTGTCGTTTCAAATTATATTGATGGGCTGAAGCTTAAGAAATTCCAAGTCACTTCAAGTTCAGGTTGACTCAGAAGAAACGTCACAGAATTACCGGAAGCTTCTTTCCAAATTAATCCTTCTGGAATAAAGAGATCTTGTTTCCTGTTTTCTAATAAGGTTCTTTAGAAAGGAAGAAAGTGGACAACGCAGCGATACGTGAACAAGTTTAAGACTGAAGTAACAACAGTTCAGAATTCTGCTTTTAGGAATGGGTTAATCCTTCTGAATATAACCCCTTTCTTATAGAATTTCAACAGAATAGCTCTCAATTCAGCCACAAAGCTTGAAGTCTAGACCAGAGGTCCCCAACCTTTTGGGCACCAGGGACCGGTTCCATGGAGAGAGGTTTTTCCGTGGACCGGAGGGGGCGTGGTTTTGTGTGCTGCCTGCCTCCTGTGAATGGGGCTTTGCTTGTTTGTGCGGACCGGTTGCTGGCATGCCACGGACCGTTACCGATTCACAGACTGGGGGTTTGGGGACCCCTGGTCTAGACCTTGAAGACTATATGTACGAGGGCAATTCGGAAATAACAGACAGACACTCACAGATACATAATTTTTATTATACATGTTACAAAACTTACAACATTACATGACTTTTGGACATAATCGCCATTCAAGCGGAGGCCTTTGTCATAACGTCTTGCAAGGTCTGAAATGAAGTGGTGCTGGTTGCTTGCCACCAAATCTTGGTTCCGCTTTGGACTTTCTCACGTGTTATGCCGAGGAAGGAGAACAATTGTGACAGCGATGAGACCTGGGTGTCAAATGTAAACCCCGAAAGTAAACAGCAATCATTGGTGTGGTGTCATACGCACTCAGCAAAGAAACCCCAAAAAGCTCTGCAAACATTGTTTGCTAGAAAAGTTATGGCAACAGTATTCTGGGATGCCAAAGGAGTAACTACTAGTGAGGTTCACCGAGCGTGGTTCAACCATCAATTCAGACGTCTGCTGTGAAACCTTATGAAAACTCAGATGAGCCATGCATAACAACGTCTGGCCTGCTGACTTCCAGTGTGGTGTTGGTTCACGACAATGCTCGCCCACACACTGCTAGGTGCACCCAAGAACTTTTGAAGCAGTTCCAGTGGGATGTTTTTGATCACCTCCCCCCCATAGCCCAGAACGACAACTACTAAGGAATTTCAAACCTTGTAAGACATTATGACAAGGGCCTCAATTTGAATGGCACTTTATGTCGAAAAGTCTTGTAATGTTGTAGTTTTCTAATGTGTATAATAAAAGTTCTGTATCTGCGAGTGTCTGTCATGGATAACTAAATGGAGGTTTATTTCCGAATTGCCCTCGTATATATATATATATAAAATAGAAGCTGGAAGTTGTTAATCCGTGGGCACAGGGTTATTCAACCTGGGCAACTTCCAGATGTGTAAATGTTGACTCCCAGAATCCTCAATAACAGCCGTGCTGGCTGGAGACGTGGATTCACACATCTGGAAGTTGATCTAGATGCATGCTTTTCCTTACAACATCTGGGTGTTGAAAGGAGCCTAGGAATAATAAGAGTTCACTGGCATGGAATTCTTCGTGTGTCTGCCATTCAAATCTACACATGATCTCTTCGCCCAGATTCCATAAAAGCCAAATAACTTTGAAAACAAAGAAAATAGTTGCTTTTTATGCATTTATGTTTTCTCCTTTGATGTCCAGATAGAGTCAGCAGATGCTTGCCTGATCCTTGCCAACAAATACTGCGCGGATCCAGATGCCGAAGATGCTTCTAATATTATGAGGTAATTTAAGAGGTAGCGATTTAGATTTAATTTTCAGTTTTGAGGGTTTCAGCCTACACTGGGATGTTCAGCGTACATTGTGAATGGAAGGAATATCAGAGGTTGCACGTCAAACTCGGTTTCTGGGGAAGGTGTTGGATTGGTGGGGGCTTATGTCTATGGAGATTCTCAGTCATCCAGGTCATGGTTATCCCAAAGATGCTTTTTCAGGAGGCAACTGGACTTTCTTGTTTTTTCTTTGAAGATGTTTCACTTCTCATCCAAGAAGCTTCTTCAGCTCTGACTGCAGGGTGGGGCATGGAAGGACAATCCAGTCAGAGCTGAAGAAGCTTCTTGATGAGAAGCGAAACGTCTTCAAAGAAAAAAACAAGAAAGTCCAGTTGCCTCCTGAAAAAAGCACCGTTGGGGTGGGGGCTTATGTAGAGAGAAATTAAAAAATGGAACAAGAGTGGAATATACTGCCTTGTCCCTGAAAAGGACACCAAACAACTTTGCTTTTAGGTTGCTTGTGAAAGTTTCTTATCCTTGTGGACTACCTACACAAGCTGAGATGTCAGATTCAAGCATGGGTGGAGTTAGAAGAGTCTAAGAAGTCAACAATCTTTCTTAATTGAGGAATTCAAATGAAAGCATCCCAGACAGATAGGTATCTGGCTGAAGATACACAATGAAGATCTTTGTCTCCCAAAACTGATCAATCACCACCTAATAGCACAATGCTGACTATCTTAAGACTCTGAGAAACTTGAAACTTGTGAAATGGTGTAGGGTTCTTGCCTGAGCAGGGGGTTGGACTCGATGACCTACAAGGTCCCAACTTCTTTATTATTATTATTATTATTATTATTATTATTATTATTATTATTATTATTATTATTATTATTAACCTTGTAGAAGAGTGACATTACAGGTAGTCCTTGAATTACAACAGTTCATTGAGTGACTTTCGAAGTTACGACGACACCAGAAAAAGTGACATGACCATTTTTTTACAGTTACAATCTGTGTAGCATCCCCTCCCCCACGGTCACGTGACCGAAATTCAGATGATTGGCAACTGGTTCCTATTTATGAGTGTGACGGTGACAAAATGGTCATAAAATGGGGCAAAACTCTCTTAACAAATGTCTCACTTAACAACATACATTTTGGACTCAATAGCGGTCATAAATCAAGGTCTGCCTGCATTAATCTATCATAGCTAAGAATCAGGAGCTCGTGGTACCCTTTTGAAGGGACACCTTTTACCTGGTCTTTTGGAAGCTGTCTACCAAGAATAAATGTGAAACTATTTCCGAATTAAAATGACAAGAATTGCACTTTTTTATCCCCTTTTCAGAGTAATTTCTATAAAGAACTACCACCCCAAAATAAGAATAATCACTCAGATGCTGCAGTATCACAATAAGGTAAGGCATATTCTGATATTTGCTGTCAAGGTTTTCTGATAAATGTTTTCTCTAATGAATGGCCTGGGAAGACACTTAGAACAGAGACATTAAGGTGTAATATCTTGAAGATGTTTATTGCTAAGTTAAATGATACCTCTTCAAAGTCTCTAAGAGGTTACTTTAATAGTCCTTCAAACTTGCCCCTGATTAATTGGGAAAACGTTGGCTAGGATATTGATGGGACTGGCTGTCCCCCTTTGCCTCTTTTCCCACCACCACCACTTCTAGGCACAGGGACATGTTTTTCTTTCTCTCAATTAAACCATCTCATCTTGCCAGAACAGGACAGCCAGTTGATCCTACTTGGTTGATCCTTTTCATGAGGCTTTGAAGACTTAGTTGAATATAGAATAGAGTAGAGTAGAGTAGAGTAGAGTAGAATAGAATAGAATAGAATAGAATAGAATAGAATAGAATAGAATAGAATAGAATAGAATAGAACTGGAAGGGACCTTGGAGGTCTTCTAGTCCAGCTCCCTGCTCAAGCAGGAGAACCTATACCACCTCAGACAAGTGACTGTCTAGCCTCTTAAAAACTCTCCAGTGATGGAGAGCCCACAATTTCTGGAGGCAAGCTGTTCCACTGGTTCATTGTCCTCACTGTTGGGAAGTTTCTCCTTAATTTCAGGTTGCTTCTCTCTTTGATTAGTTTCCAACCATTGTTTCTTCACCTGCCCTCTGGTGCTTTGAAGAATAACATGACCCCCTCTTCTTTGTGGCAGCCCCTCAGATACTGGAATACTGTTATCATGTCGCCCCTAGTCCGTCTTTTCTTTAGACTAAGCAAACCCAAGTCCCGCAGCCGTTCTTCCTATGTCTTAGTCTCCAGGCCTTGGATCCCCTTAGTTGCTCTTCTCTGAACTTTTACCAAGGTCTCAACATCCTTTTTGTGGTATGGTGACCAAAATTGGCTGCAGGATTCCAGGTGTGACCTCACTAGGGTTTTATAAGGCGGTACTAATACTTCACGTGATCTTGATTCTATGCCTCTGTTTACGCAACCCAGGATTGTATTGGTTTTTTTGGCTGCTGCTGCACACGGCTGGCTCACGGTCAAGTGATTGTCCACCAGGACTCCAGGGTTTTGTTTTGTTTTTAGAAATAATAATAAAAAACCTAAATATATTCCATTCTCTTTCCTTTCCTCCTCTTGCCTTCCCCACTGCTCACCCCTCCCCCCCCCGGGATGGTCAGATGTGCCATGAAAGTTTTGAAGGATCATGGCTGACCTGTGTTCCTTTTTCTCTCTCTCTCTCTCTCTTGCAGGCCCATCTGCTAAATATTCCAAGCTGGAATTGGAAAGAAGGGGATGATGCCATATGCCTTGCAGAGCTAAAGCTGGGGTTTATTGCCCAAAGCTGTCTGGCACCAGGCCTATCGACTATGTTGGCAAATCTCTTCTCCATGAGATCATTTATAAAGGTATCCTATCGTTTTATTAAGGGAGATGTAACGAGACTCGGTTTTCCACGGGGGCCGCGCAGAGCGCGTGGCTTAAACTCAAAACAGAAAAGGAATCCGTCAGCATTAAAACACAGGACAATCTATATAGAGCACAGAAAGACAAAACCCTCGGCTATTATTACAGATTGGGCAAGAGTCCACGTTCCTTCCTAATTACATTTTTATTTGGCACATCCCTGGCCATTAGAGATGGTCCATAACCTAATCTTTCTGACTCTTTACTCCTTTTAGATAAACCATATGTTTATCAACAGAGAAATCCTTTGCAGTTAAGAAATACCATCTCTATCCAATCCACATGGCAGCAAACCACCAACGGGAGGGGGGGACGGGGAGGGGGGGCAAAGAAAGGCATAATGTTGTTTTTTTTCTTTCTTGAATGTTTTTGCCTCCATCCATTGGCTGCGTATCCCAGATTGCAGTCATAAATATGGAACACGTATTTGTACCAAAGTCCAAACTTCCAATTAGAAGCATTCGTTCCGATCATTCGTCACTCATCACTTTATTTCATTTCCTTCAAGAGGTCCCCCTGGGATTTATGAGAAAATCATAATTGTGTAGCTCAGTAATGCTCAAACGTTCTCAGGCATTTGTACCAGTTTGTTCCCTTAGTTTTTAATTTGCCCTCTCTCTCTCTCTCTCTCTCTCTCTCTCTCTCTCTCTCTCTCTCTCTCTCTCTCTCTCTCTCTCTCCCTCTCTCTCTCTCTCTCTCTTTAAGAAGAGATTGGACAACCATTTGTTTAAAGTGGTATAGGGTCTCCTGCTTGAGCAAGGAGTTGGAATAGAAGACCTCCAAGATGCATTCCAATCCTGTTATTCTGTGTTCTGTAATAACAACAGTAATTCATCAGGCATCAAGAAACATTACAATTAGCAACAACTTGTGTTGAAAAGTGTCTTCTGCAAGGTTATTCTAAAGCCCCAACCCCATCCCCAATATATCTGGGACAAGGCAGTGGCCTCGTCAATTTCTCATGTGTTTTCAGACTAACAAGGAAATGCTTCAGGTAAATAAACTCGGAGCATAATAGATTGTACATGTTAGAAGTCTGCCAAAAAAATACACCCCCCAAACCCCTTAGCAGAAGTCCTGCCATTTTGGAAAACGTAGATTGAAGTGGAGAATTTCCTTCCTCTCCTTCTTCCCAGTTGATTGCAGAGCAGTAGAAACCATCGTAAATATGACACTTGTCAACGACAAATCTCTGTGATAAGCAACGACACAGCATGCATTTTTTTTCCCCCAGAGTGGCAGTTTTCATATGGAATCTCTTAATTTGCAGCAAACGTACATCGTGATTGCAAGATAACCTAAGCCCGGGCCATTTGGTTGGGTATAACCAATCAGATTTCTGAAAATGCTTTCTTAAAAAAAAAAAAAAAAAGCAAAAAACCCACATTACACAGAAATGCAATGAGTAGAATTCCAAGCAACGGATTCTGCTAGTTAACAGGGTTCAAGTTAAGTAGAGGTCCGTTGGGGTTAAAATAGCAAAACTTTGATCAATGTGTAAGCATTTTTAGGCTTGTCCAGGGTAAGCCATTTTGGTATATAAACAGAGCGCAAATCTCTTTCCCGTCTAGCACTGATGATGTTACCTAGTTGGGTAGTAAAAACATCTGGAGGGAAGCAACCGTGCTCAAAGACCACCAAGGACCTCACGGATTGAGTGTCATTATATGCTTTCCCCCTATCATGTTATAGCTTGCTTTAAGCATGTTGAACCACATTGATCAAGCAACGGTAATGTCATTATCGTACCATGCCGAGCTGTAAATCATAGTTCATAAATCATAATCGTTGTGTTCACTGATCAGACTAAGCCAAAACCAAACGAGGCAAGTTCAGCGTAATGCAACGGGGAAGGGCTTCCCTTGATTTAACCTAACTAGCTAATTTGATTTTATTTATGAGATACTTAGGGCTGATTTGCTAAGTAGAGGATGCGAGAACAAGCGAGGCTGTGAGAAGTGTGTAATCACGGGCCTTAAATGAGCGAGAAAGGTTTGTAATAAATTCATGTGTGGTTTTAAAACAGCACTTCAAATGGCCCGAGAAACAATTGTTTGCTTTCCTTTTGTGCGACTCAACGCAACACTTCAAGTTAGCTGGGCCCTGTGATTGCTGATATTAGATACATTAAATCACCTGTTTCTATGCAACATTGGCTAATAAAGTTGTAAGAACAACAGTCCATTTCATTTCAGCCCAGAGGTTTTAGCTATAAAACGTCCGTTTGTTTTTGCCGAATAAGCTCATTCAAGGGTATAAATCTCTCTTTATTCAGTATTCTAGTTGAAGAAGATAGATGTGCGAGTTCCTTTTCAATATCATGGACAGGGGCCCCTAGTTTTATCACCATTTCATTTTGGGCTTTTTGTGTGTGTGTGTGTGTGGATGTACTAGAAGCAGTTGATAAACAGTATTCCTCAAATGTCTTTGGATAGTTCTGAAGATGGATCTCTTCTGCTTATAAGATTGCCAGACTTTGTCAAAATAAAAAAAAATCAGCTGTAAATGAAAACTTTGAAAAGAATAGGCTCCTCTAAAGTTTTTATTGAACAGCACAATCATAAAAGTGAGCTACAGCTTTGTAACATTTGACGGGTAGCAATTCCTATCTAAAAATCATGTCCCACTGGGACCTCGAGAATATTTGAGGCAGCATCTGGCCTGTAAATTTTGCAAGTTTGCAAAAATGTGAAAAAATTGTGGCAAACTCGCTTGTGTGTCAAGTAAACATTATGCACACTTTGATAATGACTGTATGCATTTAAGCAAAAACACTGTTTTTTTTCCTCCAAGCATTGTAGAAACTCAGTTCTTCAAATGTTATGTGAAGTTCCTAGAAAGGTTCAGAATTATCCAACCCAATTTGTATTTCACAAATGGGTTGTTGTTTTTTTACTAAGTTTGTGTTCCCCAAAGCTCTTGCAACACAAAAAAAAAAACGTATCAAAAATGTCCACCTTATATTCTGCCAGCAATATTTTTCACAAAAAACGTTTTTTCTTAAATACTCTCTATATATTTTTCTTTTCTTTTGCTTTTGCATCTGGTCAATAATAAAAAGGAAAAGGGGAAAAAGAGAAAATTAAAGAAATTGAACAGGCATAATTCAGAAGGGGTTTTTTTTGTTTGAAAGAAAAGTTAAATATAATTACCAACCTTAATTACCAACCTGAAATTGATTTGTATTATTCACAGCCATTTCCTATAAAAAAATGCTATTTTTCTTCTTCTTCTTCTTCCATCTGCTTTCTAGATTGAAGAGGACACTTGGCAGAAGTACTACCTGGAAGGAGTATCTAATGAAATGTACACAGAATACCTTTCCAGTGCTTTTGTTGGTCTGTCGTTCCCTGCTGTTTGTGAGTAAGTACTTTTTGCAGCCATAAAGTCTTCTTTGTCCTTAATCCTAATCTGATTGTTTGCTAAAATGCTGAAAAAACAAGGCAGTAAAGGAAGAATTTCCTGACAGCAGGAACTATGAAATAGTGGAACAACTTGCCTCCTGGAATGACGGGTGCTCCATCTCTGGAAGTTTTTAAGTAAAGATTGGACCACCAGTTCTCTGGAAGTAGAGATAGTTTTAGATTGCTGGAAAAGGAATACAAGAAGCATAAATAGTCAGCGACAGTTTGATTTCTCTAGAGCTTCAGCGGTTCAGTAGTCCCAAAGGTGCTTTTTTTCCAAGAGGCAATTGGACTTCCTTTTTTTCTCTTTGAAGATGTTTCACTTCTCATCCAAAAGATTCCTCAGTACTGCTTTATAAAGCCCTAGTGAGACCAAACCTCGAATACTGCAGCCAATTTTGGTCACCGTATCACAAAAAAGATGTTGAGAGTTTGGCATAAATTCAGAGAAGAGCAACTAAGATAATCAAAGGCCTGGAGACTAAATCATACAAAGAATGGCTGCAGGACTTGGGTTTAGGCTAGTCTAAAGAAAAGAAGAAATAGGGGAGACATGATAGCGGTGTTCCAGTATTTGAGGGGCTGCCACAAAGAGGAGAGGGTCACATTATTATCCAAAGCACCAGAGGGCAGGACAAGAAACAGTGGTTGGAAGCTGATCAAAGAGAGAAGCAACCTGAAATTAAGGAAAAACTTCCTGACAATGAGGACAATTAACCAGTGGAACAGCTTGCCACCAGAAATCGTGGGTGCTCCATCACTGGAGGTTTTTAAGAAGAGACTGGACAGTCACTTGTCTGAGATGGTGTAGGTGTAAGCGGGGGGCTGGACTAGAAGGCCTCCAAGGCTAGACATACCTGGCTCCCTCAACCAGTCATCATACATCGCATCAGTCCCTACATTTCAAACATCTAATTGTACTGACAATCAGTTGTATTTAGGAATGACTTTGGAATTTTTCTGTACCGTGTAGTCGCAGGGGTAGGCGACCTTGGCTCTTTTATGACTCGTGGACTTCATTTCCCAGAATTCCTGAGCCAGCATGAGGGGAACTATGGCCCCGTCAGGACTTGTGGACTTCAACTCCCAGAATTCCTGAGCCAGCATGGCTCAGCTTGGAAACCTCTCCCTTTCCCCTCAGTGTGGCCGGCTCAGGAATTCTGGGAGTTGAAGTCCATGAATCATAAAAAAGCCAAGGTTGCCTATCCCTCGTGTAGTGGAATATGAACATTTTTAATATACAATAAATGATGAATGTTTTAAAAATAACACACTAAAGAGCTTCACAATTCTTAGCCCATTTAATCTTCTTTAAGCCTAGAAAGAAGAATTTATTATTATTAAATCGAGATTAAAAATCTTATTAGGTATGACATATGCTAGGTGTCTTATTTTAGTTTTTAATGCATATACATATCTCTAACTGGGGGTTAGATTAACATAAGAAATAATTACATTTTCATACAGGTTACGACTAGCTCCAGTTTGTAAAATTTATGGATCCCTCCATTCCAGCAACTTAGAAATTTCCCAGAGATTGGAAATTTTGAAGAAAATCTGAAAGACTTCCATGTTTCTAGTTTTTGCTCCCTTTTGGGACCACCTTTTACAGGGATGTTTTTCAAAAGCCACTTTTTCCAGCGTTCGTTGCTTTTGAATTTCATCCTGCCAATGATTTCTAAAACGGATTTCTAAATTAAGTAGTCATCGCAGTAAGGGTTTGCTGTCATCTGCCAAAGGTTTATGATTGCCCCATTAACAGCCCACATTAACATTTCCCATGGCTACTTATAAAGTCTAGCAGATGTAACGTCACGTAATCTGCTAAGCATAAAATTTGGGATGGCTTCTGTGACATTTTGCATGGTAACTAAATCTTTCCCAGAGGATACTTATCGTCGTGATAACGGCTCTGTGGAGGTTGGAACTCAATCTTAAAACAATTGTTTTACACGGCCCTTTAAAAAATATATATCCTGAGTTGATTACTGTAAATTTTATCTGATGTTAGGCATAATCACAAAGGAGGGAGGTTAATGAATTGTAGTTCTTATCCTCTAACATTAGAACACAGATGTAATCCTCAACTGATGGGGCTTTACTTGTTTGTGCGGACCAGTTGCTGGCATGCCACAGACCAGTACTGGTCCATGGCCTGGGGGTTGGGGACCCCTGCTCTAGGGTCTCCTCCTTGACTAGAAAACCTCCAAGGTCCCTTCCAGCTCTGTTCTCTCTGACTGACTGACTGACTGACTGACTGACTGACTGACTGGTTGATTGATTGAAATGGCCTAGGGTCTCCTTGAGCAGGTGGCTGGACTAGAAGACCTGCAAGGTCTCTTCTAGCTCTATTCTGCTGTCTGTCTGTCTGTCTGACTGACTGGTTGATTGATTGATTGATTGATTGATTGAAATGGCCTAGGATCTTCTGCTTGAGTAGGTTGCTGGACTAGAAGACCTTCAAGGTCTCTTCCACCTCTATTCTGTCTGTCTGTCTGTCTGATTGGTTGATTGATTGATTGATTGAAATGGTCTAGGGTCTCCTGCTTGAGCAGGGGACTGGACTAGAAGACCTCTAAGTTCCCTTCCAGCTCTATTCTGATCCAGACCTGATTCTGATGTACAGGTAGTCCTTGAATTATGATCAATTGCTTAGAAGCTGTTCAAAGTTACAAGGGGCCCAAAAGGTACCTGGACACCGTTCTGTAGTTCCAGCGGCTGCCCCTTCTCGTGGTCACATCATCTCACTCAGCCACTTGGCAAACAGCCCAAATCCATGGCCATGTGCAGTGCCCCGTGGTCACATGACTGCAATTTACGATCCTTTTGCAAAAACTCGGTTTTTCTGCAAAAATGTCGCCTGGCATACAACGGGTTCTGCTTAATGACCCCGGCAAAAAAGCTCATAAAATTGCTTCGATCGTGTGAAAACCGACTTTATGCCCGTCACGACTTAGGACTGTGATTGTCTTACTTGGAGTGGATTAACCAGCAGCAATGAGAATCTCTGAAAAGAGGAATAAATATTTTAGTTGCATGAATATTTTAGGCGTGTAGAAAGGGCACAAAAGCTAAAATGCACTTGATTCTGGGAAAGAATTGATCAAGCTCTACAAGCATAGAACATAAGATAATATAACCTTTATTGTCATTTTTTTACTATGAGCATCCTGGCCCATATTAAAAATGAAATTCCGTTGCCTGCTTTCGAAAGAAAATATATATCTACCCATACACATATTGTTCTGTCCCCATTGGACACACACACCCAAATAGCCAGCCGAGGGTTAAAGAACTTCTCCACACTTCAATCCACAGATAAGAAAACTTGGCAGCAGCTCCGTAGCTGCCTGCCAAGACTTTTACTCAGAGAACAAAAAACAGTACACACAGTTAGAAAATTAAGTCCACAGCAAACTACTTCGCCAGAGATTCAGCTTTTGTCCGTCACAGAGGTCCAAATGGCCACCACCACCCTTTTATAGCCTGTGGGGTGTGGTCCAGTGACTCAGCTTAATCTCTGGCACGTCTCCTTTTCTGCTGCGCACGCTTGTCGCTCCTATGCTGGCGTGGATCCAGCCACAACTTCTCTTCCTCACTATCTGAAACACCTGGCTCCTGGTCAATCTCTTCTCCGTCGGGAGACACCTGAGGCATTGCCAGAGAGGAGGGTCCTGGAGAGGGAGGCCTAGCCATCTCCTCTCCTTCATGTTCGGAGCCTTCTTCCTCCGATAAGATGGGCTCACAAGACGGAGCCACGACACATATACTCATGATACATATATATCTATATATATCTACCACATACATACATACGTACACACACAAACATAAATATTAATCACTGTCCATTTTGAATACATAGTAGAAAGAGTAAAGATGAGAGTTGACAAGGTTGATGATATATGGTCCAAATCTCTCAAAAGCGTTCTCCACCTTTTAGATATTCTGAATTTTGCCTGTCATTGCTGTTTAACGTTATCTTGTGATCAAAAGTCAACATTTGGTGACTAGCATGTATTTAGGACGATTGCCATGTGCTAGGGGTCATGTGATGATCATCTTCAATGACCTTCTGACAAGCACAGTCAATGGCAAAGCCAGATTCATTGAACAATGTAACAACTGCAGTGGTTCACTTAACAACTATGTCAAGAAAGCTTGGGAAATGGGGCAAAACTCACTTAACAGATGTCTTGCTTAGCGACATAAATTTTGAGCTCAATTGTAGTATGTTGAGGACTGACCACTTGTATTCATTAATGTAGGGTTCTTCAAACTTGGCCCTTTTATGACTTGTGGACTTCAAATCCCAGAATTCCTCAGCCAGCCAAGTCCACAAGTCATAAAAGGGCCAAGTTTGAAGAACCCTACATTAATGGATCAAAAGAAGTCCAAAAATCATAAGGCAAGACACTGAAAATAACAGACATAGTTATTTTATATTTATAGCAAGAAAATAACAGACATGGTTATTTTATACTTACTTATATCAAGAAAATAACATAGTTATTTTATGCTTACTTATATCAAGAAAATAACAGATATAGTTATTTTATACTTATATCAAGAAAATAACAGATATAATTTTATACTTACTTATATCAAGAAAATAATATAGTTATTTTATACTTATATCAAGAAAATAACATATATAGTTATTTTATATTATATCAAGAAAATAACAGATATGGTTATTTTATACTTATATCAAGAAAATAACAGATATGGTTATTTTATACTTATA